ATTCCAACATGTCGGCCCTTGCCATCACAGGTTTTACGGTTAAAGTCACCTGAATGTAATTTGCTGAACCATCGTTGACACTTAAAAACGTTCAAAAGATTTCCATAAACTTCTTTGATATTCTTTGTGGTTACAGGGGCGTTGTTTCCCTTCTTGTATTCAAACAGCATTACATATCGAATGTGTGTCTCGTCATGTGACATCACTGTAAGGGATTAGAGTATACTAAACTTTACACAATATATAGGCTACACTAACGTGTCGTTTAGGCTGTTCATTTAACTATTATACGTGATGTACGTTGTTGTTGTTTTTTTTTTTGGGGGGGGTAATGAAAGTGTTCCAAAACGCGACATTAATTTCTTGACGACCTGATACTTTGTGTATTTTTTTATTAAAAAATTGGTATAAAGTTCTAGAATAATGACCGAATCATATTATTCAGATTAACATAAGGATCTTAAGCCTAATGAATTAAGATTTGATATTGTTTTTTCAATGGTTGTACAGGTCTGTGTGACGAAATAGGAAGTACTAGTGTATCATGTACGTGTAGTGAAGTGTTAGTAACTACGAGAGCTGCTGAGTATGATATACCTCGTTAACCACGTTGGATATAATGTACATTTATTAGGTATTATGTAAAGTGCCAAAGTACAAGTTGGCAACGTGCCAAACTTCCGTGTATCTAGCAAGAAATTAGAGCATACTTTTCGACGTTCCTTAAAAAAAAGGAGGGTAATTAATGGTTACAAATGTTGTAATCTTGAGGTTTACAGCAGTAGTGACACACATAATCGTAAGTAATCAGTACTGGGCTTTGCTCTAACGTTTTGTCTCGTGTCTTTCAGATTTGTAATTTTCAAGGTTCCTAGTGTTCATGTTTTTTCTGTCTGCGAAATGATAACTAGTACATTTTGATGGTAAAAGCAAACTGGAATACCTTGGTTTTCAAAATGGAAATCAATCAAGAAAACTCGAATTAAAGTTAATTGCACGATAACATTTAATTAAGCCATGGATTTTATCATGTTTAGGGAGAATATTATAAACTCTTCAAAACTATTTTGCAAAAAGCGAAACTTCGTTATTTTCATTTTCAGCAGTAAATAAAAGGAGAGACCGTCAAATTATCAAACAAAATGGCAGTAAGGCAAGTGAATATCGTCTTTATTGCGCCATGCGGGGTGTTGTACTTTTCCCCTAAGGACAAAACATAGTTAATCATTTAACAGTGACAAATTCAAATGTCATTAAGTAGATACGAAATAATTAATACTTTGACCTGGTAGCTTGCTGTACTAAAGCTGTGGAACTATTTTATAAGAAAAACAATGATATAGAAAAGGAAACAGTAATAATACAGTTTTATAACTATATATGTAGCCAACCAAAATCAGTTTTATCTTTTCGTCAACAACTGCTTTAAAATACAGTGTATTTGACCTTTAAATACTGCATCACTGCTTTAAAATATAGGGTATTTGACCTTTAAATACTGCATCACTGCTTTAAAATATAGGGTATTTGACCTTTAAATACTGCATCACTGCTTTAAAATATAGGGTATTTGACCTTTAAATACTGCATCACTGCTTTAAAATGCAGGGTA